TACTGGTTATCTTGTAAATATTATGCCCAATCATCCAGAACCAATCTGAATAGGTTAGGTTATATAAAAATAGATTTTCTAACCTTTTATCAATCAGGGGTTGAAACTTAAGATTATACTATTGGAAGGATTGCACAAAGTAAGGTTTCTGGTCTAGTCTCTCATATAAAAGCCTCAGCCTACTCTACTCTAGCAATCTCCAAAACCCTCACTTTCCTAGCTTAGGATATCCCAATTTGATGCTTTGCTTAATTGAAAATCAGTTAATAGGGACTGATCTGATACTACAAGTAATGACAAAAAAGGCAATATGTCTTCTTCCGAGGTCTGAGCAAATAATATCTAGGAATATTGGAGGGTGTATATATCTTATCGGGTATATATAACAGGTCTAGCTTAGTGAATTATAAAAGAAAAAAATTATATAAATAACATACTAACTAGCCTAAGTATCACCATTTATGACTAAAACTCTTTTTGCTGATCCTTTGACCATACACAAAAAAGAAGTTCGCAAGAAGTTTTTATACTTCCTTGCTAATAAAGTCTTAATATTTTTCTTAAAACAACTTGAATTATGACTTCAAGAGTCATTTCTATCCTTTCTCTATTATTTATAAACCTCTTTACTCAAAAACTTGACTCCTAGTGTTCAAAAAAAGTCAAGCAATACCTTTAATACCAATGGCAAAAAAGTTCCCAAAGAAAGAAGAACTGATTGTGAAGTATCTGAAGGTCTATTTAACCTTTGAAGTGAGAGATATATAAAGGTTTTTGATGACAAAAGGGTTTATTTTTCCCCTTCCAGTCACTTGTGGGCCTCTTAAAGCTATCGTTTTCATGGTTTTCTGGGGAATTTTGCCTATCTCAGTTTGACTCTGAATTTTTGATAGCACAAATTTTTACCAAAGATAATTGGCTGACATGAAACACATTAGTTTTTGGAATGTAAATAATCTCCTATTGGTCATACTCACGTGTTTAAATATATCATTAGTGATGTAAGAAAAAAGTTCTAAAAAAAGTGTCCCCTTCAATTGTGTATATTCAATCTCCAGGAAACAATTATGATACCAAAAGGCAAGCGATGAGTACAAAAAGAAGATTCAACTCCATCTCTCATTAAGTTCCTCAGGTGGTAAAAAGGCTTTCTTGGATAAAAGCTGAGGTCTCCAAGCTTCTATCTCAGTTAGGTAAAGTTTTTGAAAAGATTTTTTTATCTCGGTTAGGCAAACTCTTCCGTAATATGGCACTGGCCTCAACATGATAAGCAAATCCATACATTGGAAGAAGGATAAGTTCCTCAAATGTTTTTCTTGAAATCACTTTCAGGAATGGCTAAGTTCCTCAAACATCCTGAAGCTTAGAAAATATCCCAATCAAGCAAATCCCTTTTGAGAGAAAACTGTGAAATGGAGCAAGAACCTTTTAAAAGGCTTTGATTTGCATTTTACTTTTCCCTTTTTCCAGTATTAACTTTAGTAATTTATCATTTTTCAGGATAATTTATATTAACATCTGTTGACAATAACTTTGATTGACTTAGAGGTACTATTATCAAGCTACTAGAAGAGTGAAATATTGTCCCTTAAATCTAACTTAGAGTACCTAATTTAGACTTAGTTTTGTTTATTCCAAACTAGCTTAATGGACTTCTCATATTTTTTAAGTAGTGTAGTTCTTTAACTAATAATGTACAATGATAAGTTAGTTGCTTTGTAAAAGTTTGTAAAATATTTAGATATTTCTCAATATCTCAATAAAGATATGCCATTGCGGCATGATTGTGGGTTAAAAAAAAAAAAAAAAAGTATCACCATTTATGACCATGTATTAATAATCTGGCTACTAGCTAGATGTGTCTACTTTCAAAGTGATAATAGATAAAGATGGATTCCTAAAGAGGAGACAAGAACAAAAGTCAAATGTCCCTTATTAGGAAACATTAAAATTTTTAAATTAATAATTATTAAAAAACTATGCACAATTGTTTTCCATTTTCCAAATCATTGATTTATAATATTTTCTGACTTTGTTCCTATTAAAGTGAAGAGCTATGAATTTTGTTCCTCAAAAAGGGACATAAGTGATCTGTGAAATTTTATATGTTAAATACTTTAGAAATCTATTATTAGTAGTAAGTCTAGCTAGGATTATCATGTTAGGTCAGCATTAATCTGCATATATAGAGATGTTTGATATAATGACAATGGAATTAAATTATAAAATAAAGTCTTATATCTAATACTAGTTATAGTTTAGTACTAAAAAAAATAATAAAAAATATAATAAAAAAATTTTTTTTTTATTTTTTTATATTTTTTTTTGCATTTTTTCAGGCATATTTTAAAGCTATAAAGTGTATATTTCAGCATATATAATAAATTACTGTATACATATTTTTGATTGATTAATGCATATATGCGGCCACTCTACTTCAAGATTAGCAGAAATGTAAATAAGGATATACATAATATGGGACATAAATATATTTCCTAAGCTGCATAAGAATCTTAGATTCATTGTAAGTCACTAGTTAGTTGTACAAGTGGATAAATATTACTTGGACTATGATTTTCTCTCTCTTATTAACTCTAAAAGTGTCAAAGTTATAGAATAAGTAGTCTTAGAAACAAAGTTACATGGAAGAGCTGTTGTTAAGTATTCTTTCATTCCTTCCCCTATATTCTTTTCTTATAAATATTTTCAATTTTCTCCTCTATTTTAATTTTTTAAATATCAACTAGTCACATGACTAGTACAAGAGATCTCAATACTAGAGGGTATTAGAAATATTAGTCAAGTTCTAATATATTAGGTTCTATTAATAGATGGTAACAAGCTAATCAGTAATGCATTAATGTACTCTAGATAATAATAACTCTTAATTAAGAGAATGTATTCAGCAATACACAACTGTGTGTACTTGACCTATCCTAATTTTGTTTTTAAAAAAAAAGTATTTACATTAGACGATCATGTATTTTTTCTATTCTGATTAAGTTAAATATAGATTGAGTTATATAAATAGATAGTTCCTTGTTATATTTCTCTCTAGTGATTTGTAAATCCTTAGACAGTACAGGAAAGAATTCATCTTGATTGTTCCTAAATATGATTTTTTTTTAATAAAGTATCAGAAAAGATATAGAATAAGCCAGTTTCTAAAAAAAAAAAGAGAAGGTCTACAAATTATTTTGATATTTTCTCAAGTATTTTAATAAAGACAAGCTATTTTAACATGATTGTAGATTAAAAAAAAACCAATAATATAAAATAATAATTTAACTATTATACAATTAATTACTTTTTTTACTAATTTTTTTATCACATATAAAAAAGATATTTGTAAAAGTTTTTACACTTTTTTGCTAATAAAGTCTTAATACTTTCATTAAAACAATTTTAAATATAATTCTAAAAGTCACTTTTATACTTTTCTTTTTGCTACAAATTTTTTCACTCAAAAATTTGACTTCCAATAATCAAGAAAAATCAAATAATACCTTTAATACTAATGATAAAAAAATTCCTTAAAAAAGAAAAACTAATTGTAAAATATCTGAAAACCTTTTCAACCTTTGAAGCAAGAGGTTTATAGAGATTTTTTGCAATAAAAAGGCTTATTTTCTTTTTTTTTAACTATCTTGACCCTCTTAAAACTTTTACTTTCATGATTTTCTATAGAATTTTATCTATTTCAATTTGATTCTGAATTTTGAGTAATATAAATCCTTATTAAAAGTAATTGATTGACATAAATCATGTTGGTTTTTGAAATTTAAATAAGCTTCTATTGATCATACTTATATATTCTGATAATATTATTAATGATTAAAAAGAAAAGGTAACAAAAAAAATATCTTCTAACTGAATATGTTTTCAAGAATAATAGTTATAATATCAAAAGACAAGTAAAGAATATGAAATATGATATTTCTATCTCTTAATCAAGTCCCTTAGATAATAAAAAGACTTTTCTAGAAAGAAAGCTAAGATCTTCAAGTTTTTATCCTGGTTAGGCAAAGTTTTTACAAAGACTTCTTTATCCTAGTTAGGTTAACTATATTGTAATATAATACTGGCACTAGTCTTGCGATAAAAAATTTTTTATATCAATAGAAGAATAAGTTTCTCAAACATTTATTTTAAAATTTCAATACTCAGAAATGGTTAAGTTTCTCAAATAATTTGAAGTTCAAAGAATATCTCAATCAGGTAGATTCCCTTTAAGAGAAGATTATTTACTTGAATAAGAATCTTTTGAAGGGTTGTGAATTATTTTCTTTTCTTTTTTTCCCTTTTCCAATTTATATTGTAATTCAATAATTCATTGTTTTTTGAAATAATTTATAATAAAAAACTATAGATGATTCTGATAAATAGAGGTTATAACTAATCCATCAGAAAAGTATAATATTGTTACCAAAATCCGACTTAGAGTATCTAATTTAGACTTTGTTTTATTTAATCTGAACTAGCTTAGTGAACTTCTTATATTTTTTAAATAATGTAATCCTTTAACTAATAATATGCAAAAATGAGTTAGTCATTAAGTGAAAGTTAATATATGTTATAGATGTTTCTAATATCTCAATAAAGACACACCCTGATGGCATGATTGCGAATTAAAAAAAAAAATAGTCAATATAATAATGTAGATATTTATTTATTGTCTCGATAAAGACATGCCATGATAATATGATTTATATTAGATTAATTGATATCAATATACGCATTTAAATCACAAATTAGTAGAACTTTAAAGCAATTATCAAATAATTTTTAATAAGATCACAAATTAGTAGAACTTTAAAGCAATTATCAAATAATTTTACAAATAATGGCTAATTTGATCGCTATCATATGATTATTGTATAAGCAATTAGAAATATTATATCACCCTATTTACTAAATCAAATACACATATATATTGAGAGAAACTCGACCTTCTAAGCAAACGAAACCCGTGAATCCCTATTTTTAAATTAACATCAAACATGGCGTCTTTAAGTAATGAAACTCCACTTATTTTATATCACTATGCCGGTATGATATTATTTTTTTCCACTTCACTTCATACACTCGAGAAAGTTTGGTTCACCAAATAAATTTAGCCCTTATTTGTATATGCACATGTAGGGTCACCTTTTTCCATGAAGATAATTTGGGCCCTGACGATTAAAGGATTGCCCTGGAATTCAGTTACAGTGCCTCTCACTCTCCCAAGACCGTGAGTTTTAAATGTAATATGAATTATTAATCGATTTATCGCGTAACATAAATTTTTTCTTAATTAGTTCATTGCAACTACTGACACACGGATATCGCCGTATTCCCGTACTTCAATGCGGATCCGACGTGTTCGTCGATACTTCTTTAATATTGGAGGAGTTGGAAAGAAGGTGCTTTGATTTAGAATTTTTGTCATTTTTGAGTTAAATTAGTTTCGACTCAAGGTATTGCTTAACTTATATGACTATGTTACATATCTAATTTTTCTTGCGATAGGTTTCCGAATCCATCACTTTTCCCTAAAAGGAAAGGATCCGATAAAAGTGACAAGGGCCTCGCTAAGTCCATGATCATGTGGACCGATGTCTGTATACTATATATCGTTTAATATTTTCTCGTTATTCTATTTACATAACTTACCATTTAAATCTCAACTAACTATGAATTCCTGCAGAGATACTTTTTTAGTGCCTCCATACAATCTTCCCTCGTCTCTACGGATCCCTCAACTCCTAAATTTCTTACTACATCTAATTTTCTCTCCGATCGTTCCTCACTTATGGGCAGACCATTCAACCTCCAGAAACTCCGGTCCGACCGCCCCCAAATTATCGATCAAATCCGTTCCAATCTTGAATGGATTGAGCAACAACTAGATGATGATCGTGAATGGTTTCTCGATACTCTGACCCCGGGAATAGCCGACATCCATGTCGCGACGAATTTATTCCTCCTGGGCTTCACTAGAAGTGCGAATGAATTGTCTATTGCTCAGAATTATCCTAAGACTTACGCATGGTTTAATAGGTTTGGAAAATATATTAAGGAAAGTGAAAAGCCACCTGTTAACATGACTGAGGAAGAGGCATTAGAGATTGCAAGGAAGTATAAACCATTGAGTGCTAGGGATGCACAATTGGAGGATAAAATGGACTTATATAGGAAGGTGGGAGATCGAGTCAGTATTCAACCAGATGATTATGGAAAAGTCCCGGTGGTGGGAAAGATTGTTAGTTTGGGCAATTCCCATGTGGCCATTAGGCCTAACAATATAGACAAAACCGGTATTGAAGTGGTGGTTTGGTTTCCTAGAGCTGGATATGATATTATTCCTATTAACAATAATCAAGTTTCTGGAAGATTGTAAACATGCTGTTCAGGAAATAAGTCTACTGACATAAATTCCAAGAACTTTCTTGGTTTAAATTATAAATTTTAATTTCAATCTTAAATAAAACATAATATTATTTCTCTTATAATTTTTAGTTTAATAATGAAAACTTATACAGTTTTTCAAAAAAGCAATAATAGCAAAACATATTTTTCTTATAAAAAAAAATATGATAAAACAATATATAGTATATAGCTTTTGTTATATCTTTTTTGAGACCGTTATCTGATTAAAAAAGTTTGCTTTATTAAACTTTTGTCAAATATAAATATTTAAATTTTACTAAGGTTTCTTTTATATTTAATATATTTATCAAGATTAACTATATTCAATAAGAAAATAATTTTTTATTTTATCAGTAATTTAAATAAATATCTTTTCAATTAAAAATATTATGACTAATTTTTTTTTTTGAGTACCCGTAGCCAGGTTAGATCGTCAGTTTATTAATCAATTGAAAACAAAAGTATATTTTCATTTGAGTAGCATAATACATACTATAGCTAAACTATTATTCTAATCTAACTAACTCATCGTAAGCATAAAAGCCTCTAAGTTCAGCCTTGGGAACAATATTTCGCTCTGCAGTGTCTTTGGGTAAAGACTCTCCTAGTCCACTACATCATTACCAGCAAGTTGTCACTGCCATATATTATACCAACTGCTGGAATACAGGAAACTACAAAAGAATGGGTTGAAAAAAGGTGAGAGGGATATCTAAATATGTCTAAACAGACAACAAGAAAGTAAAAGAGTAAAAATTAAAAAAAAAAAATATTTTCAGCTTCTTCCAAAAACCTGCTTCTCAAGACCTCTTCTCAATAAGAAATGTCCAATTGGAATATTCTTTCTTTTTCTAACTATCTAAGGAACTTATTCATTCTTGATCTTGATTTCCTTCTTGTATACTGTCTGAGAATACTTATTGCCTAGTGGGAGCCTTTACTTTCAGGATATACTTGGTCTCAACCTTCTTTGGACAGTGATTTTTTATCCACCTGCGATAGAAAAATGACTTATGATGGACTCTAGATTCTTATATGACCTAGTAAGGACTAGGTCATGTTGTTTCAGTGTGATACCTTTCAGCAGCCATGTCTAATTAAAGGAATTTTACTGGTATACATCTTCCATTATCCAAAAGGTCAGATTTCCCAATAATTCTTTTGCCTTGTAATGGTAGGAGGTTCTCAAGAGTGGTAGGGATCCTTATCAATTGTGATATCCTTCAATAACTTCTGAAGAAATGTATTCTCAACTATAATCAAAGGGTTGAAGCTTAGCATGAACTAAAGACCATTCAATCTTATTGCTTGACCGGGATAAGAGGAAAACCTTGGTCTTGAACTTTGTCTGACTGGAATGATAGGAGAGAAAGACTTCAACCTGAACAAATAGTAACTTTTTCACCACCTGGGGACTTGTTACTCGTATCTTATTGACCTCATGGTACTTGATCTATAGGTTAACCCAATTGGAGGAGTGAGTGGACATGAAGCATCAATCAACTCTTTCTATTATCAATGATGTCATCGGAACACATGAAGTGATCAGTAGATACTTGTTAACATACAGCTACTAATGTGTTTCATGTTCATCAATTATATTTTGCAATAGATTGTGTCATCTAAAATTCAGAATCAAACTGAGGTAGGCAAAATTCCTCAGAAAATCAAAAAAATTTTGGGTGACTATAAGAGGAAAGAAACAGTGGGCAGACACTTTGAAATATGGCTTGATGTTCACTGCCTCCCATTGCAAAAAATCTCTATAGACATGCTTCAATATGAAAGGCTTCAAGTACTACACTAATAGTTCTTCTTCTTTTCAGAACTTTCTTGCTATAGGTAGAGAAGGTGTTTCTTGACTTTTCTAGATCACAGGAAATCAAGTTTTTGTTTGAAAACGAATATAAACAAGAGGAAGAGTTTGGGAGTATTTATCTTTTTTGTATGTGGGCAGAGGATCAACGAAAAGAGTTTTTTTTTAAAAATATTACTATTAATATTTTAATTAAACAAATTTAAATATTATAGATATTGATTTTTTATAATTAATAGTTTATTATTGCAAATTGATTTTTATTATATTTATTTAATTAAACAAATCTAAATATCAAAAATATTGATTTTTTTATTAGTTATTTAATAAAATAATTTTTATTAATCAAAATATTTTTAAATTTTATAAAAATAAATAATTAATTATAAAAAATTAAAAAATATTTTAAAAAATAAATAAATATTTTAAATATTTAAATTATAAATTTTTATATTTTTATATTTTTTTTATTAATTTTATAATTATAAGTAAAAAAAATATTTATCAAAAGTTTTTAAACTTTCTAATCAATAAAATTTTACTATTATTTTTAAAAAATTTGAAGAGTATCTTCAAGAGTTACTACTATATTTATTTTTTTATTTATAAAATTTTTTGATTAAAACTTAACTTTTAATAATTAAAAAAATTAAAAATATTTTTATTATTAATAATTAAAAGATTTTAATGAAAAAAGAATTCTTTATTTTTTAAATATTTTTTTTTTTAAAAAAAAAATTAATAGAAGCTTAATTAATTAAATTATTAATAATAGCTTAAAGTTTCTAGTATATAAAATAAATTTTATTTTTAAAAGTTATTATTATTTTTTTTTTGTCCTAAATCAAGCTAGGTATATATGCTTTATTAAACATTTGTATACTTTATATTATTAAATATTTCATTAAAGCTAAATTTCTACCTAACTTATTCATCTCTATTTTAAATTTCTTAAAACTCTAAGTAAAACTTTGAAAGTGATTTATTATTCCATTAGTAATTCAAGTATAAACTCTTTCAACTACTAATTTCATTGTCTACAGGTTATTACTATAGATTATTTTTAAAAGCTATTTTATATTCTTTTTTTTTTTTTTTTTTTTAATCCTCTATCAAGTTAGTTATGTATACTTTATTAAATATTTGTAAACTGTACATATTAAATGAAATGCTAAAGCTAAATCTCTAATAAACTCACTTGTTTTGATTATATTACCTCTCTAAGTACAACTTCAGGAGTGATTTATCATTCCATTAGAGGTTCAGGTAAAAACTCTTCCAACTTCTAACATCATTGCTTGCAGGTCACTATTGCATATCATTCTTTTGAACTCTGACAGAGATTAAAACCCAACTACTTCATACCATATTTTACTTTATTTAATAGGAATTCTTTCAACTTCTTGTCTTCGATTCTTTTTTCTTTATATATCAGTTTCTCACTGGATCAAATTTCTGTAATTTTGTTTTTTTTTTCCTGGTCTTATGGATATAATAGTCTTTTTATCTTATCATATTTGCAGATTCCTGATTTCTGTTCCCATTCAATCACTTTTTTATATCTTGCATTTCATATTTTTTTTCAAAAGTGATTATATATTTTTTTCTTGCATCTTTGTTATCTATTTTCTTGCTTCTTTTTCAATTATCTTGTCATAACATATTAAATTTGCTATTTTGATAACTAGTTCTTTCTCTATTAGTCTTATACAGAAACTAAGTGTGTTCTGACTAGTTTCTAAGATTTTTTCTATCAATTTTGCTATCTGTTTGTCAATTTCTCCTGTTTCTATTATATCATCTATTCTCAAGCTTAACTATTTCTTTTTTGATTCAGTTTTCCTTTCTTTTAAGAACTTTCTAAATCCTTTCAAGATGCCTTCTATTTCTTTTTGCCATGCCTTATTTCATTGAGTTTTGTAAGCTGGGTATTCTAGCAAGTATTCTATTGTTTTCTCTTCCTAACTATACATAATATATGTTACTTGTTTGTAAAGATCTCATCTTCTTATGGCCAGCTTTGTAAGTATTGGTAGCTCATCATTGATTAATTTAGTGAAAAGCTTTTGTTTTGTGAGCTTTTAAATAAAGTATTCCATGTGTGTTTTTTATTAAAATATTTCTATATAAGGTTCCATATACTGTATATCTGTGTTGGTCTTAAATTTGCTAATCCCATCTTATTTCAATTCTATCTTGAGTTGTCTATTGATAGATTGTTACTTTGTTATTAAATTTTTTAATAGCTTGTTTTATCAGGATATTTAGCACAATATTCTGTTATTTAATTTCTATAATCATCTTGGACAAGACCAATTTTTTTTATTTTATCACTGAAAATCTTAGTGCTTCTTTGGCCAGAGCATCTGCCTCTTCATTAAACTAGATATTGGAATATACCTTAACCTTGATAAGCTTGAGATTAAACTTCTTTTTCTTTATGAGATCCAACATATATACTCACAAGAACCAGTTTTGTTCTTTTAACCATCTTTTGTAAATCATTTTGAGATCCTCTTTTTCTATAGTTTTTCACTTTGAGATATAGGCTTGATTATCCATAAAGATCATGATATTGCTATCTACTGGGACTACTAGTAGTATAGTAACTATTGCTACTAGTTCTATTTTAGTGAATGAAGGCTAGTCCTCTATTTCAATTTGAAACTTGTTTTCTCTTCCTGCTTCTCCTATCTGTATCTATATTGCACCTATTTTCATATTTGTACCTTTATGGTTTATGAGGGACCTATTAGAGTAAAATATTATTGGTTCTTTTCTTTGCTTGTTGCAATTAAGTATTTCAATCAAATGGGATTAGTAGACACCTTTTTCAACATAATCTTTGATGATATTTGTTTTCCAATTCTCTATTTCTATCTGTATTACTCTTTTATTCTAGGTAGTTACTTAATTACTATATATTGTTCTATATGTCATATCTTTCAATGTTATGCTTCTTTGGAACTTGGAATTTTCAGTAATTGGGATCTTCTGGTGGACTTTCTTGTATTGAGATAGGAAACCATATATATTTTCTTTATATTTGTTTCAATTATACGGTTGCTTCCAAAAGTTTGAGTCCACTTACTATATTTTTATTATAAATTTCAACTTTAACAATTTTTAAATCATTAA